TTACTGGCCAAAACAACCAAGAACATAATTGTGCTTACGATGCTTCTTTTTCTATTGAAGACTTAGCAGGTAGTCGAGATTTATATTCTACATCAGCTTCATTGCAATTGCTGTAACAATCTTATATATTATGATATATAACCCTTATAAATAATTTCTTAAAACAAAACTGTTGCTTAAGTATTAAGTTGCTACCATATTGAACTTCCACAGACATGATTTTGGGCATTGATAAACTTCTAATTTTTTATATCAGTCATAATAATAGTCTTTAATGTTACGCAATGGTAGATTTACTGGGTAAAATACATTCATTTCTATCAAAGTTGACAGTTCAACGAAAATAGAATAAAGAACTAGAAAAAAAACAGCGAATCTTTTTATCGAGGACGAATTCATTGAGAGCCAATGAAGCGTAAATCACCGTGATCATGACTAAAATAAGAGCACAATTGTCCGCCAAACCCTCGCTATTTACCCAGATACTTTGGTTGTCTGAGATCAACAGCTTGATCACCATGGCAGTTCAAGAAAGAGGATGTTAAAAGTATTTACGCCAAATGCATTACAAAGGCCATAGTATATTTCTCTGTTTTTATAACAATTCAGGAATCCCTAAACCAAATCCAAGTACAGTAAGCGCCATTAAGGAGTCCGGTATAATTAAGTTGAAACCTCTCTCTCTCTATATATATATATAATTATCCAAGTTGCGCTGTAACTAACAAGTGCTATCCAATTAACAATGCTAGTTAATGATATAAATATTGCCAATGATGGATACATTGATGGAATAGTGATATAGAGTATAATTGTTACCGGCCAAAATAACCAAGAACATAATTGTGTTAACAATGTTTCTTTTTTTATTGAAGACTTACCAGGTTTCCGAGATTTCTATTCTACATCAGCTGCATTGCAACTGCTGTAACAATCTGTTCTTAATTCATTTTTTTATCTCAACAAAGTGATATATGAGAAGTATTTTTTCTTCCTCTTCATTTTTCCAATAATATAATATCATAGTTTTTCTCTGAAATGCAAAACATTAATGCATCTCTTGCCAATGGCGAAATATCTATTGTTTCCTCATGATGAGATTTTGTTAGGAAACCACATATACCAGGAATAATGAGACAGTTAAATGTTGCCTATCCCACTATGGCTTAAGCTCCCACCTCACCCTCTATCTAAATTGTGCTGACAAGACTTATAGCAAGTTCTGGGGTTGCAGCTGCAGCTGCCATAATGTTAGCCCCGATCACATCAGAAGTCACAGTCATTCCTTAAAGTGAGTGCAACCAGATGTAAATACACAACTACCACGAGAACAGTCAACACTTTCATATCAACTTCCGAACCTATGATTACTATATTTTTTAATTTAACTTCCTTTATTCTATACGGAGGTCCTTTAAGAAGGCCTCTATTATAAAAATTATATAATTATAATAATAAAATTTAATTCTAAAATACTTTGCTGAATATCTTGAATTGACTACCCAGCATTTGATTCCCTTTTAGCAGCATCATGAAATATTCTGTTCATCTGTCTACTATATATTCGTTAAGCCATATAATGGATAATGATCCTTGTTTTCTTTTCCGAGATTTTGGGCCTTCCCGTTCCTTTAATGTATTTTTCCAATGTTTGGGTTCAATTTCGCGTTTTTCCTCATTTTGAGACCAAATACTAATAATCAGTTCCTGTTCACTTGAAGAACTTATAGCTTCGCCCTTTCCACCTTTCTTTAATAAAAATGATAAATTTAATAAAATAAAAATGATTTTTTCAATAGTGATGTATGAATTTCACTAAACAACTATTCAACTATTCATTATATGTAGTTCAGATTAGCTATATATTATTTTAGTTTATAAAACAGGTATTGATATGACTCATTTCTGGGGAATATACAATTTAAATTACTTTTAAGAATTCAATTAATATACGAAACAGTGTTAAATTGCAATCGTTAAATAAACAATTCAAGATATTCATCAAAGTATTTTTGAATCAAGTTTTATTATTATGATTCTATAATTTTTATAATATAGGCCTTTTTAAAGGACCTCCGTATAGAATAAAGGAAGTTAAATTTAAAAAAAAATAATAATAAATTTTAAAAAATACTTTTTTGTATATTAAATTATTGTATTAATATTTTTACGTTAATACAATCAATATAATGTACCAAAAACGTTATTATAACACTATAACTAAGCCATGTATGAGTACTGAATGGTGTGGTAGAGGCCTCAAGGCACCTACGTCAGTACCGCTTTTCTACCGCTTAGTACGTTCTCTACGGAACTGTTTCAAATATTTTATAATGTGATCAGTGTTTTAGAAAGAAAAATATATTCTCCAGATATTTTATTTCATCACGTTTTGCGTTATTGTTTGCCGTGTAATTATATGCCGTGTTAAAAAATTGACTTTACTGGTGTTTTTTATTGCTTAAGCCACTTAGTTTTTAATATTTGTTCATGTTCAATTATTTTCTCACTATCCAGCTTTAATAAAACACCAATTGTGATGAAATTAAGCCAAATGCAAATGATTCTGAGTAAGCAAAAAACTAACTAAAGTCAAAGCCGTCGTTCACTTTTGGTTTATTATTTTCAATAATCAACCATTGTGATCGACCGAAAAATTCAAAAACTTAACCCCCTCTCAAAATTTGAAGTTTCACGTTTCAGAATGCGTAGAATTCGAAAAACAAATACAAATTTTTTTGTCCGTCCGCGCATTTTCTCCGAAACTACTGGACCGATTTTTTAAAGATTTGGATATAAAATCAATGGTCACACGAGGATGATCCTCCTTCATCGACATTACTATCCGCCTTTTACTTTCAAAATAGCGGCCGAAAAACCTGCGTTTCTATAGACTGTATTAATACTAGATATGTAGATATGGTGGTAAATAAAAATGTAGCTGCTAAACGAATGTACCGATTTCAACGAAACTTCGCCAAAGTCATTTTCTCGACGCCCTTTAAATTTATATATATAACATACTTCAACGAAAATAAGCTGGAAAAAGTTACGAGGGATGGTAAAATTAAATTCCGAATAACTCAAAAAGTTTACACTTTTTTGTCGATATTGTATATTGTTTTTTAAAAGTTTACGGAATTTCTAAAAAAAAAAAATCGTTCAAATTGGACAATTAAGAGCAAAGATATGGCCTTCAGTTCTTTTTTTATACGTCCTTTTCCAAACGATATATGCTTTGTTTGGTTTTTAAATTTTTAATGTATTACTGAAGTAAATGCTATTTTCTTTAGCTTATTACTAATAATAAAAAAAAAGTTTAGTCCAATAATTGGAATAACCTTTTATTTATTTTTCTTTGTAACTAGGAAGGTAATGTTACTTTAGATGTATAATTGTTTGGAAAGAATAAACCATTGTGAAATAATTTGCAGCATTTTTTTTTTTTTTTTTTTTTTTTTTTTGTAGGAACATTGGCTTTTTTTATTTTTTATATATAGTTACAAGGAACACAACGATATGCAATTTGTAGGGATGTGAGGAGGGAGGGGGTGCACCCACAGACTAAAAGGTTCATTTGCTATTTTGCTTATTTTTAACAAATAAAATGCGATTTTAGATGTTGATGCAAGTTTTTCATCTTGATCCCTCCTGGGGCACACCCAGCCTCTATAAAATGGGTACCCTTAATTAAATAATTGATTATGGGGGAAAAAACCTGGCGGTCGAGCGTGATCTAGGTCAAATCACCTCCTTGCACAACCGTTGACCTAGAAACAGTGCTTTCCCTAAGTAGTATTGAACCTCAGACCCTTCATGGGTTGTAGTGGTACAGGTATAATTATCGTATATAATTAGCTGCCGTTTGATATTACATAATATGTAAATAATTACTTATAATAAGTTATTGAAGAAAGTTAATCGACTGTTCTACATATCATTGGTGATAAGTATTCAGGACGCAGTCATTGCAAAATTTTTATTAGTGAAGACGTTTTAACCCAAACATGTGTGTCATTATCAGGGCGTGGTTCTAGCACTGAAATTGTTCAAGTACTGACAGTTCAAGTGCACACGCCTGGCGCCACATAAGTATAATGACCCACATGTTTGGGTTGAAACGTCGGCACTAATAAAAACTTTAAAATGGCTGCGTCCTGAATATTTATCACCCATGATATAATAAGTTATATAATTTATAAACTCAACAAACATTAGAAGCACAGATAACTATTTTATTTGACTAAAAGCTTTTTTTCCCCTTTATGCGTGGAAATATTAGCCAAGATATAAGATTTGACTAAAAGTTTTTTGGAGAAGAATACTGATATAAAAAACACCGTGATTATTGTCTATAAAGTACCTGTACCTGTAGCTAAATTAAAATTATATATTTTAATTAAGTATTATTATTACTCAAATCGAATGAAAAACAAATTAGGGGGTATGTCGAATGTAGTGTTGACCAAGGCCGCCTAACTGTTGCAAGACCAAGACCAGGATAGGTAAACAAAAATCGATTTTTTAAATAAAAATTAAGACTAAATAATTACTAATACTAGAAAAATTTAGTTGCTATATGTTAATAATTGGTATAACCAACATACTTCTAATTTTTCATATGGGCTTAGTTAAGTTTCTTCTATCTAAAAACATACACTAATATCTCTATAGTAATAAGCTAATAAGTAACTGCAAGACTATTGCGAGACTCTTGCGCAAGACCAAGACCATGACCAAGACTGAGTTTGCAAGACCAAGTCTTGGTCTTGCAAACTCAGTCTTGCTTTAAGTAATTATTTACATATTATGTAATATCAAACGGCAGCTAATTATATACGATAATTATACCTGTACCACTACAACCCATGAAGGGTCTGAGGTTCAGTACTACTTAGGGAAAGCACTGTTTCTAGGTCAACGGTTGTGCAACGAGGTGATTTGACCTAGATCACGCTCGACCGCCAGGTTTTTTCCCCCATAATCAATTATTTAATTAAGGGTGCCCATTTTATAGATGCTGGGTTTGCCCCAGGAGGGTGTCCCGACCCAGGGTTGTACCCTGGGACCTTTGCATTACAAGCTGACTGAGCTACCCCAGTCCCTACAATAATTACAATATTAGAAATATAATAAATTAAGTTCAAAAGACTCATGAAGAGAAATAGCAATATCATTCTATTTTAACATTTACAAATCATATTGGAAAGAAATATTAAAATGTAACGAAAAAAATTGTTAAATATATTTATTTATTTTCGAACATTCATCAATATTGAACAATCTATAAAAATAATGAATGATAAAATACTGGATTTATATACGTGGACTAACTTAAATATCTACACTTAAAATATTTAATAGACTTAGCAAATACCAACTGTGAGATTTATACATATATTATATAAGATTCAGTATAAAGAATCTAATGGCAACATGATGGCTGATCGGCTCTATCAAACGTTTAGTCTGCAACAAGAAATGTAGTTACTTTAGATGTCATACTCCACGGAATAATTTATACCTAATGAGCATATATTGAAAATTTAAGAAAATTACCTGTTAAATCTATCATTGCATATCCTTCTTCGGAAATGGACTCTTGGCGATCTTCAACGTATGTCTGCAATAAATAAGACAAATCATTAACAGTTCCGCAAAATATCTAGCTAAAAAATAATTGTTTAAATAAAAATCAAATATAGTACAATAGGAGAAATACTTGTACCTTGGGTCACTTTTTTTTAAATCTCCATAACTTCTAAAATAACAATGATTTTTAAAAATGCAAAATACAATTTTATTTGACATGCTTTGAAGATACTAAGCTAATTTTTAAATTATTTTATCACCTGATTTTTACTATGAAAAAAAAAAATGATTTTTAAAAATAATATATGAACCAAAGTACAATTACTATAGTTGTACCTTGGTCAATATTTGTTGTAATAGGAATTATAATTGTTATTCGATAATAAGTATCACTTGTATACACTAGTAAACTAACTTTTTCATGTCATCCATTGAAAGCTATGATAAAATATATTACGCTTGCAAACGTAATCATTTAATAAATAATCATTTATTAACTTCTTCAGTAAAAACTATGAATCAAGGATTTATTCTCACGAGAGACATATTTTGAAATTATATTGAAGTACCTTGGGCCGACCAAGTCACATTATAAAACAGTGGCCCAAGTGATTTTTTTGAATTTGATTTTTTAGCCATATCCTGAAGTATTTTGCTTAGAACTTGCCTTATAAAAAGAAGTCAGAGAGATTACAATACATCGATCGACTAATACTTTTGAGTATGTTATGTAATGTTTTGATTAAAATTATTATATCAAGTGAAGAAAAATTACTTTTCAAACACTAAAACACTCTTATAAATATTATCAAAAACGGAGCGAAATAGAGGCACCAAAATAAGCTGGGGAAAAATTTAATCAGGGTGGCCAAATATACATTGTTGCCCAAGGTGCCTAAAGTATTTCCCCTATACCAGGAGAGAACATTCGTAAAGGTGTAGTGATTTGATACTCATTATAACTATTTTATTTATTCGTGTTTCTTCGTCATTATTTTATCTTCAATCTATGATTCGTTATCATAAAAGGTTCAGCTTAAATCTAAGTTATGCTTAAATCACGTTTAACATTAAAAATTAGTAAAATATAAAAGTATGTTTATTTTATTATTTTTAACACGCCGGTAGTTTGAAAACGGCTTGTTCGATTTCACCCAAACTTGTAGGTAATTTGGAAAATAGTACATAAATTGCTTGGTAACAATTCGATTTATTAATTAAAATTAACGTAAATAACTTTTAATAATATGGGTCTGTTCCAAAAAGCAGTCTTTTTAGGTGTTGTTATTTTAAGTATAGATATTTAAGTTAGGCCATGTATATAAATTATGTATTTTATCATATATATTCTAGGTGGTTAAATATTGGTGAATGTTTGAAAATAAATAAATACATTAAACATTTTTTTTTTAAACATTTAGACCCTCCTGGGGCACACCCAGCCTCTATAAAATGGGTACCCTTAATTAAATAATTGATTATGGGGGAAAAAACCTGGCGGTCGAGCGTGATCTAGGTCAAATCACCTCGTTGCACAACCGTTGACCTAGAAACAGTGCTTTCCCTAAGTAGTACTGAACCTCAGACCCTTCATAGGTTGTAGTGGTACAGGTATAATTATCGTATATAATTAGCTGCCGTTTGATATTACATAATATGTAAATAATTACTTATAATAAGTTATTGAAGAAAGTTAATCGACTGTTCTACTTATCATTGGTCATAAATATTCAGGACGCAGTCATTGCCTAGTTTTTATTAGTGAAGACGTTTCAACCCAAACATGTGTGTCATTATCTGGGCGTGGTTCTAGCACTGAAATTGTTCAAGTACTGACAGTTCAAGTGCACACGCCTGGCGCCAAGTATAATGACCCACATGTTTGGGTTGAAACGTCGGCACTAATAAAAACTTTAAAATGGCTGCGTCCTGAATATCTATCACCCATGATATAATAAGTTATATAATTTATAAACTCAACAAACATTAGAAGCACAGATAACTATTTTATTTGACTAAAAGCTTTTTTTCCCCTTTATGCGTGGAAATATTAGCCAAGATATAAGATTTGACTAAAAGTTTTTTGGAGAAGAATATTGATATAAAAACCACTGTGATTATTGTCTGTAAAGTACCTGTACTTGTAGCTAAATTAAAATTATATATTTTAATTAAGTATTATTATTACTCAAATCGAATGAAAAACAAATTAGGGGGTATGTCGAATGTATTGTTGACCAAGGCCGCCTAACTGTTGCAAGACCAAGACCAGGATATGTAAACAAAAATCGATTTTTTAAATAAAAATTAAGACTAAATAATTACTAATACTCGAAAAATTTAGTTGCTATATGCTAATAATTGGTATAACCAACATACTTTTGCATTTAGCTCTTCTAATTTTTCATATGGGCTTAGTTAAGTTTCTTCTATCTAAAAAAATACACTAATATCTCTATAGTAATAAGCTAATAAGTAACTGCAAGACTATTGCGAGACTCTTGCGCAAGACCAAGACCATGACCAAGACTGAGTTTGCAAGACCAAGACTCGTCTCGCTCTCGCATTTGGGCAACACTAGTCGGATGTTAATGCCCGAATAAGGTGGTAATAAGAATAAAATAATTTCGGTAATGTTTTCTCTCCATTTGGAATAACCCAAAATAAACAGTGTTTCATAATAAAAAAAATATATCTTTTACTTATGCTTATTTGTTTTTATCGTCGATTAATAAGTATTGAACTGGCATACCCCAATCAGATCTCTCACATATAGCTATCCTTCTTACTAATGCATTCGACGTAGAAGATTACCCTCGCAAAATATTTTTTATTTAGTCTATTCAGCACACACAACTGGTGAAGTAGCTATAGTTTTAATCTTGTCCCCACTGGTTTAATAGTTAGGAAATGTGAGAATAATAGAAAATACAATGATCCATTATTTTACACGTTCACCAATTAATTTTTTTTTGGTAGAGAATAGCCTTGGTTTGCTCCATTTATCCAGTCATATCTTATTTATTCAAACATAATGCTACCTTTGAAATTATTGGAGTTTGTAAACCTTGCAATTTTTTCTATTACTTTTATTGTATTTGTAGAAAAATTTTAAGTTTTGAAATTGGCTTTCCTCAATTCTCCATGAAATTCCCTTTCGTTTTTGATACCTTATTCATGAAAATCCGTCGCTCCTAAGAAACTTTATATGTAACTAGTTGGCCCGTGCGAAAAATTCGCAGAAAATTTTGTGTAGTGAAGAAATAGGAAAACAATGCGGATATAAGTAGTTTCTATATATTATGTAAGGAAGGAATTAACATTTTTTCCTTAGTCGTTTACAATATTCCATTAAACATAATATACCAAAATATTTGTACAAATTGCTTTGCTAGGTCCTATTTTTAAACACTGACTGGAAAGATAATAAAAGTAATAAATACAAAATAATGCCCCGATCATAGGATATTCTAAATTATTAAAAAAAAGTAAAATGTAAGATAAAATGTCTTTAAGAAGTAATAAAGTTAATATAAAAGCCATAAAAAAAATTTAGTAGACTATACTCCTAAATGCAATATCTTTAAACAGGAAGACATTATTAAGTATACCAAAACTAATAGACTGTATTTTTGTTAATAATTGTCCGATTTTTTTTTTTTTTTTTTTTTTTTTTTAGAAGTTTATTAATCTTTCTAATTACCATCGGTAATGGGTAACAAAAAAAAATGCATACTTTTTGAGTTATTCGCAAATAAATTTTTTTACCTCTATAACTTTTTTTCCAGCAATTTTGGGGGGATGAAACTATTTTTCGCATGTGAAGGAGAAGAATACCTTTAAAATGAGTGGTCAATCATTGGATTTGAGGAAGCATTGACAAAGTTATGGCGTACCGACTAAAAAAAACACCTTTTAGAAATAATATATAGGATATTAAATGGCAGCCAATTATACACAGTAATTATAATAATAGGAATATAATGAAATTAAGTTCAAAAGACTCATAATGAGAAATAGTATCATTCATCTATGTTATCATTTATGAATCATAATAGAAAGGAATATTAAATGGAAAAAGTTTATTTACTGACGCGCTCTACTGTCCGAGATGTACCTTGGCCTCCTTTACGATCTTTTTTCCAGTCCTCTCTATCTTTCATTCTTATCCTCCAATTCCCCTCTCCCATTCCCCTCAAATCCTCCTTCTGGTAACGCCAGATGGTAATTTAGCATGCCGAATTAGACAAATATTGGGATATGCTGGCGACATTGCAGTTATAGGTAGAAGCAGAGCAGCAATAGTTGAGGTTCTATCGACATTGGTTGTAGAATGTAAGAAGGTTGGATTAATAATTAACGACACAAAAACATAGTATATGGTAGTCTCGACCTCGGATTCAAGAAGATAGCCAAATTGGTTTTGTTTTCCAGGTATACTTTTTTGATGCAGTGGAAAGTTTCACGTATCTTGGAATGCAAGTCAATAGCGAAAACTTGATTAGCCCGGAAATAAGAGGAAGAATCATGGTAAGCAATAGAGCATACTTTTGCTATGTTAAAGCTTTTTAAATCGACACTCTCGTCCAGAGTCACAAAACTCAAAATGTTCCATTCCTTGGTTCGACCAGTTGTGTGCTGTGGAGCCGAAGCCTGGACGCTGAAAGTAGCTGACCAGAAGGAGGATTTGAGGGGAATGGGAGAGGGGAATTGGAGGATAAGAATGAAAGATAGAGAGGACTGGAAAAAGATCGTAAAGGAGGCCAAGGTACATCTCGGACAGTAGAGCGCGTCAGTAAGTAAGTAGTATTTAGGGAGAATAAATTTTATTAGTTCAGAAGAATGGTAACTGAAAGGCCCATAATATTTTTTTTTTTCAGATAACATCCCCAATCATCTCATTTTTGACAGTATATAATATCATCATTCGAATGGTAAACACCCGAGAGATAAACCGAAGCGAAGATGGGAAGATTGCGTTAAGATTGATCTGAAGGGACTGGGTTTGGATGGGGACCGGTGGAGGGTGGTATACAGACAGTGATTGGTGGTGTCGGCATCGAACCTTTGGGTTCGGGCTAAACCTTTTATTATTATAATATCATCATTATTATTTCATTAAAAAATGACAAAATTGAAAAGCCAAACACTACTTTTTTATGCGGTGTCCGATGGACGTCCATATGTTTTGAAAGGCCTTCCGGAGAGGCGAAGATCATGTCACAGACTTGGCACGTGAATCCTTCCTCGTTACTGCTTTCTTGATTTTCCAGGGTCCCAAAGAAACAGATGTCATCCGAAGTCTCTTTTTGGTTTCTATTATGTGATAATTTCTCTTCTTCCATCTTCAAACAAGTAAATACAAAATTATAAACAAGCAGAAAAAAATTGGTTAATCAAAACGTAATTACCACCTAGCATTATTTTTGTTACCCATAAAAAAGGTTTTATCCAGTAACTTATATCGTGGATTTCATAATGACTTTGGAGGCATTCCAGAGATTTAAAAAGCCTGTCGCAGAAATTACAAACAAACTTTTTTGAAGTTTTGGGACGGTCACAGAATCTGGAAATGGATAAATCAGTACCAACTATTCAAGGAAAAGTTAAATAGTAATATTATATGTGTGTGTATATATATATATATATATATATATATATATATATATATATATATATATATATATATATATAATGGCAACCTTTTCGTTTGCATTTCAACTTCATTAGTTTCTTGTAATCTACTGCCCGCAGTTTGGTATTTGCAAAGCTGAAATGATAAAAATAATGGATATTTATAAAACAAATGATTACATTTTAGTTCCGATTACATTTATTAATTTCAATTCATTTATTGATTTTATCACTATTAATATTTTTTAAGTTTGTTTATTTATCTATTGTATCTTATTATTCTCTTTAGGTTTATTTGTTTTATTTTTATAATTGTATAAAAGTAATAGTATTCAGTTGATCGGACGCTGATAACTTAGATGTTTGGCGCCTAGACGCCAAACAAACAAGCAAAAACAAACAAACCATGGCTTAAAAATATTACAAATTTAAAATTAGCTAGGATCGGTTAATTCTTTGAAACCGCTTGTTTCAAATAATAAAAATGAGACTCCACAAGCTTAAAATACTCACGTTTTTGTTTATCGAAATATTCGGATAAGAAGTGGTACTTGGGAGCAATGGATTATATCTTTCTGAACAGGAATAAATGTTTTTCATCTTCATTGTTGGATGGTAAGAACATCTTTTTTTATAAGATTTATTACAAGTAATCTGAAAAAAAAATTCAATGTTAAATTTGTAATGGAATTTTAAACATTTACCGATTTTATCTAATATATTCAGCATGTTTGTGCCATGCGCTTACTGTAACCCCACTTCTGGCCAATTTTTCAACTACAGATGTCATACTATTTTTGCGTAAAATACTAAGATTTGAGTTTTGTTCTGCAGAAGTCATCTGAAATCGTAACATCCCATTGTATTAATTAAATATATAATTGCTGTCAATTGAGAGAAAACAAAAATAACATTTAAAAATCAAAATCATCAATTTAGAGTAGAATTTAAATTCAATCTCACCACTAGAGTATTCTTGTCAAAAGTTTCAAGATCCTCTGTCTGTTTTTCTTGTAGTAGTCCACGTTTAATCTCCGGCGTTACGATTACAAGGGAACCATTAATCTGAATTACCGTATTTTGCTTCACTGTTGGCCTAAATTTAATACCAAATAATAACTTACCTATTCAAATAACCATCCCTAAATATATTCAATACCATATAAAACTAGTTCACCATTCTGTCTGTGACGATTTGCACTCCGATTTCGCATAGAATTCCTCGACATCGTATGAATCTTCATCTCCGATACTGTGTATATCTTCGAAGCCTGAGAAGATGAATTAATTATAATGAAACTGTTCAACACAATTGTAAATTAATAGTTATTAATAAATAATTGTATAACTTTTTGGTGAGTTCAGTTCTCTCGACAGTGATGGTGACGAAAGGAGAGAAGAAGTTGGGTTGTTTCTATCATCATTTACGATCTATGTAAATCATATTATTAATTTAAATAAGTATAGAAATATTAAAAATCCTAATATTTCGAAATTCGATAAGCGAAACATTTCCGAATCCATACTTACCTCAGATTCCGGAGAAATTTCGATCGATGATGAACCACAACTTACTGAACTCATTCTTAGGAATATTATTTCGTCTTAGCTAATGGTATCTATGAAAAAAAGTTATTAAAGCATTAATTATCAATCATCTATCAATTAGTCATCATTACAATCAATCACCGTTATTAAAATAACTAAAATTATGGATGGAAGGAGATGGTCCGGGGTGGAGGTCATAAATAGGCTAAATAGTGGTAAAACCTTTTTATTAAAAGGTTTCGACGTTTCGACCCGACTTTGCAGGTCTTCTTCAGGGCTAGAACGGACAAGATAAAAAAAGATAGAGAATGGTGGCAATTACATAATATTTAGATAAAATTTGTAAACAATGTTAACTATTATAAAGAAAAAAGTGAAATACTTATTGAATATTATATTATTGGAACTAACCAGGTCAAAAGCAATAGATATATTCCTACTCAAATAAATTCTGATTGATGATTAACGGATTCAATGAAAAACACCGGTAAACGCATCTGTGGAACAATGAATGAAAGCCTCGAGGGCCATTAGAGGTGGCAATGTTGTTGTCACTTGCTGTATCAATCACTCATTTTATCAACTTTGTATTCATTAATGGTATCCTTACCTTTTGACAAAAAATTACAATATAACATCCAAAAAAACAAACATATAATTTCATTTAAAATTAATGAATAAATAAAACGCATCTATCACAAAATAAAGTTAGAGGCTTGAAATATTGGATTTAAATTCAATTGGTGTCGGTAAAGTGCCTGTTGGAAGTCTCCAATTTTTTTTACTCAATTCTTATTGTATAAAATTTACTAATAAATATCAAAATATTTAAAAAAAGAATATGAAATATACATTCAGCTGTCTAATTGATTTCAAAGTTGTATCCAATGTCCAGAAGTAAGCATGAACGAAACAACTGGAAGATTCAAGGTGAATTTTTTCCTCATTGGACCACATTAGCTTCTATGAGTTATTCGTGAATATTTTTCAAAAAATGTTTGAATTAAAAAAAAAAAACAGCTACAGAAATTCAACTTCATTACGTTGATTTTCATATCCATAACATTCAGACAAAATGTGCCTGATTGTTAAATTGACCCCGCAGCAGAGACACTGAGGGGGCGTCCCCTTTCTCCTCAGGTGCTCATGAGTTAGCCGTGAGTGGCCAATTCGGAACCTTGTCAGGATTATTTCTTCTCTTCTTTTTAACTGAAGGTCCGCTCGATTGGGAACTACAGAGGGCTAGATCACTCTCAACTCATTGTCTCTTAACACATGCCAGAGACCCTGCCATCTTTCCAGAGCCTTTCTCTTTACCAAAGCTATCACTTCTTTTGGAAAAGCATCCCCTACTGGAGTTCCTTCTGTAATTGCTTGTTTTGCCATGATATCGGCTAGCTCATTACCTCTGATACCTGAGTGACCCGGTAACCACAAAAATTGTACCTTACATCCTACACCCTCCAATGTTTTTATATGCCTAACCGTGTCTGTGACGAATAAGTTTGTTGAAAACGAGTTTTTAATAGCTTTGAGTGCAGATTCCGAATCTGTACAAATATAAATTCGTTGTTTATCGCAGGTGAGACTACAAACGGCATGATTTATTGCAAACAGTTCTGCATGGTAGGAACTGCAATAAGGGGCAATGAAAAAATTTCCACATTATCAGAAACAGTGGCCGCACCGACTTCATCTTGAGTTTTTGACCCATCTGTGAAAAGATATTCCCTATTGGAATGTTTCATTTGGAAGTCCGTAAATTCTGCCAATCCTAACTTTGAAGCAAGGGCCTTCTTACATTTTACTTTATGTATTTTTGGAATTGGTAACAGCCAGGGCTCTGTTTGCAATTGCCGAACTTCTAGAATGGAAGGAAAAGGTGCGAGATCAAAGTCTGTGATGTGAATTGAGCACCTTTCTGCTAAAGATAATTTAGTTGGTGGGTTTACGAGAACTGTAGTTGGTACAAGTGTGTTTTTTAAAGGGTGAGTGGGTCTAGAAATTGTTTTTATATAGAACACCAAGTCTAAAATTTGCCTTCGTATAGCCAGTGGCATTATACCAGCTTCGACTTGAAGGCTCGCTATGGGGCTTGATCGAAAAGCACCAGTGGCTACTCGAAGTGCTATGTTTTGGATCGTATCCAGCATCTCAAGTGTCCTTTTGCTAGCGGAACCATATATTATACACGCATGATCTAATTTGCTCAGCACAATGGCCTTATACAATCGAATTATACTGATTCTATCAGCTCCCCAGTTGTGATTGCTTACCGTTTTTAGGATATTTAAAGCCTGTAGACAGTAAGCCCTAAGCTGTTTTATATAGGGTGTCCATGTAAGAGCGCGGTCTAAAGTGACACCAAGATATTTAATGTTCGTTGAATACACTAAATCCTTCCCGTCAATTTTAATATTTTTAATGGTAAAATTTCGTTTTCGCGTAAATAATATTGTCTGTGATTTGTTGATGGAAATTTTAAAACCATGTGTATTAAGCCAAGATGTTACACCTAATAAAGCTTCTTGTAGAATTTCGTGAATAAGCGTAGTATCTTTACCCTTAACATAAATCACTACATCATCAGCGTACATCAAAATGTTAGCCGGGAATCTTACTTTTGTGGCAACCCCGTTAATTTCCAGGCTAAATAATATAGGACTAAGTACGCTGCCTTGTGGGACACCACTTATTTTTCAAATTCATTTGATATTGTGTTGCCGGATCTTACATAAAACGTCCTATTGTTTAGGAAGATAAATATAAATTGAAACATTTCACCGTATATCCCAATTTCAGTCAACGCATTTAGTAAATATTTTATGCATACAGAGTTGAATGCATTTTCGATATACAAAAATACCGCTAAGAGGAATTCCTTTGATCGAAAAGCTCCTATTACGTCAGCTTCTAATTTTATTAGGTTGTCTAGTGTACTTCTGCCGCTTCGGAAACCACTTTGCCATAAGCAAAGAATGTTTTTACTTTCCATAAACCATTTTAAACGATTGGCAATCATTCTTTTTAACAGCTTGCAAACACAACTGGTTAGCGCGATAGGTCGGTAACTGGACATCAGTTCTTTCAGTTTATCTTTTTTCAAAATGGGTATTATTTCGGATTTACGCCAATCATCAGGAAAAATTTTGAACGGTATGTATTATTCAGAATTATACAGAGTAATATTTTGCTATGATAAGATAAATTTTTTAACATACTATAAGAGATGCGGTCTGGTCCTGGAGAGACTTCTTTACATGGTTTAAGATCTGTACTAAATTCAAAGAAAGAGAAGGGAAGATTAAGGGCATTATTTTCGGCGCTTATGGATTCCACTTGAGCTGTACTCATTGAGGTTGGAATGTTTTGTATTTGAGTCGAAAATGTCATACTAAAATATTCTCCTATCGCATTAGCTACGGTCTTAGGGTCTGCGATTATTTCGTCAGCCCTATTGAGCATTTTCAAGGAAAAATTTTGTTTCTTACCTATTATTTTCCTTAATGTATCCCATACATCAGCGATCGGAGTATTAATATTTATTCGCGATACGAATTATTTCCAGAAATTGATATCTAAGCATTTTTCAACTTTACACTTTACTCAGTAAATTGCTATAATTTTAAGCTTGAATTATTATTAGCCGTTCTCACAAAAAAACGTTACATACATTTAGCGGACACCCCAAACACATGACCCTCGTGTCGTTTCGCTTTCTGAACACTCGCGGAATCTCGCCGAATAATGTAATATATCAAACTTAAAAATCTATCTAGCCCTTCACTCAAAAAATCATTACACATGTTTTAGTAAATCGATTAAACACATTCTATGTAATAACAGGTCAGTATTTTTAGCTCAAATTATTTCAAAACACTCAGGAGATCTCGCTGAATAATTTGAGCCATCAATTTAAAGATCTATCTAGCCATTCTTTCTAAAAAGTGCTAAATAGCTTTCAGCGGACTGCCCAAACACATATCCCTCGTTTCGGTTAGCTTAGTCGCATAAAAATCACTAGTTCTTTTTTTTTTTTTAATTAGAACAGAAGACAAATGAGCCATTAATATGCACTTAAAGAGAAATTTTCAACATTAATGTGAACCACAGATTTAATTCTGATTGTAGATTTTTGAAAACGGGATTAATTGTCAACATATTATTTTATATTTTTTACCTTCAGTTAGTTAATTATTCATAAACTAATCCTGACATCGTATATTGCCTCAGTAATAAACATCCAGGTTTTAGGATCAACTGGTTTATTTATATGATTAAAAGCCTGCATTCTGCACAGTTTTATACAAAAATAAATGGAAAATTATTAATAAATGAATCAAAATAATTCCAAAGCTTCAAACATCTACAAAAAGTGAATGTCTGCTGAGTAAGGTCAGTATAGCTTCCTCACCGTTTTCATTGTATATTACAAGGCATACAATTTTTCGTATGGGAATAAAATCTCTGGGAAAAGCCGATTCGGAAATACAGTTACCCTTTAATATTCAACAAAAGAGTGCCGTATTTGAAGATTCCATATTTGATTATCCTTAACATAAAAAATAAAATAAAAAAAATGCATACCGAACATGAATTTCAATACTGTTCTTTTTAATCATTAGTAATATGCTAAAAAAATAGTGTAACATCAGTAACAAATTCAAAATTTTAAAACCAAAACAAAAGATATATGTATATATAGCAGTAGAACAATCAACCTTTGCAGTAGAAGAACTAAAAAAAAACTAGAGACCGTATCTTCGCTCCTCATTGTCCGATTGTAAAGAATTTTTTTTTGTTTTTTTAGGTAATTCCGTAAACTTTTAAAAAACATTTCAACCACCATACCCAATTTCAACAAACAACTGTATACTTTTTGAGTTCCCCTCGTAACTTTTTTTTCCAGCATCTAATCTTTGAAGTATGTTATACAGATAAATTGAAAGGGCGTCGAGAAAATGACTTCAGCGAAGTTTCATTGAAATCGGTACATTCGTTTAGGCGCTAGAGTCCACTAGCGGATTCAGGATTTAATTTTTTTTTTGGGGAGGGAGCTTCAGCCCGAAAGATTTGTTTTCATATAAGTATAAAAATAATTAATTAGAAAAAAAAAAATTAACTACCTTTATGAAATGGTGTTTAAATGGTTCTTGAAGCCCTATTAAATGTAATTACAAGAGCAAAAATAATCTAAGAGAGATAATTTTTAATATTTTTTTCTGTAAACATAATTATATTTCACCATTTTGGGGAGGGGCTTCAACCCGAAATCGCTCTTCCACCGTAGATCCGTCTGTGCTAGAATCTATAGCAACTATACTTATACAAGTATAGTAGTGCATATATAAGAGAAAGTAGTCGACAGAATTCAATAAAATAGACACTACGTCATTTTTTCACCAATATCTACCTTTTATCCAACTTTGAGCCAAATCGAACGAGCCCTTTTTGAAATATTGGCATATTTAAAAAACGTTTGCGCGGGCGTAAGCGGAAGTGCAGGATGGAATTTGATAAAATTGATATGGGACCATCTAGGCACCAATCGGCATAATCCCTGAAAATTTCATGAAAATCCGATGAACGGTACTAGGACAATAACTTATTTCAAAAGTTATATTTAGCATTTTTTCGTAACTGTTAATAATGAGAGATAGTTAATTATTTAAAATAAACCCTATTAAAGGTGCTTTAGAGGAATACGCATATGGACATTGGGCATTTAAGCAATGTAAGGTGACATCTGCGGGGACAAGACATAATACACATGATATTAAAGCCTACTTAATTATAAAATGTTACACCGAGTTTGATCATAATCGTTAGAGCCGTTTTCGAGAAAATTGTAAAAATGAGTTTCAGCGTTGATATAAAGTGGCACTTCCGGTCAGCCGATTTTAAGGGAAAGTTTCTGTCACATTTAAGGCATATACTTATCTTAAATACGTAATATCAGATTCGTACGATTTTTTGTTTTTGAGCTAGACTGCTAACATACACACACACAGACCATTTTTTCGGGACTTGGTTATTTGGACTCGAAAATTTTCACGATCGCTTATACTTACCCTTACTATATATTACATATATACGTAAGTGAAAGTAATACAATCTCACTGACGGAGTTCTGTTACTTTTTTTTTCTATTTAAAGAAAGTATGACGATGTTGAAGGTTGAGACATTAGAAAACATTAAAGATGGCGTGTTTTCAATGGCGGCGTATTAGAAGTGGAGGGGAGGGGGTCAGCGGAGGAGGGAGTGACCTTATCGCTGGATATGGGGGGCCGTGTATTCATTGGCTATACTACTAATTATAAACTAAAAGTACTATTTTTTTTCTGAACTGTATGCTATCTTAACTCACGTTATTTAAAGACCAATTGTTATAATATTTTAAATAATAATATTATATTTTAAACACTGTCTTTGTTTAATCTATTATTCAAATTGAAAGTCAAAACATATAATAACTACCAAGCTATAGTTAAAAATGTTAAAGGGACTGATTTAGAAAATTTCTCTCGAAAATTTTTACTAGTAATGTACCGTAATGTCTTCAAATCTTTGTTTTGACCATTAAACTTGATTAATTCCAGTTTTCAATGTTTTATTACTCATGAATCAAGCCAATTATTTTGATGTTGTTTAATAAAAACGATGAAACCTTCCAAAAAAGCATCTGTTTTTCAAATTGATAAATATCTTGACTATGCTTTTTCATTAAGAATTAAGTCTTTTATCATATTTAATTTGTAACCTCATTCTATTCATAACCTTCAAGTTAAAATAAAATTAACTGATAGCACATAAAATATTTAGGATCTTTAAAATATAGTCATTATTTGACCTTTAAAAGAGTCAAGATAACAAGGAAAAAAATATAGAATTGGCCCAAATTAGTAAACAAATAAAAAAAAACTTAAAGCTAAAACTTATGGTTTGATGAGAGAGAACTCAGCTGGGACAACCTTTATCTTCAAACACCAGGAACTGAATAAAAATCTGTTTTTAAATTTCTAAATACGGTTATGATTCTTATCGTAACAATGTTTATATTATAGTTTTTAACAAATTGGTTTGGTACCAATATATTATAAGTAGCTATATGTAATATACCTGAAGATGGAGGCCTGACACATTTCTATACACCATAAATAAACCAATGATACTTAAATGTAACGACAAAAACAACACATCTATTTTCAAATCTGAAATTGCACGTTTCAGAAAATTACATAAACTATAATTAAAATAATGAAAAATTATTCTATATCCGCTAGTTGGTAGTAAATACAACTTTGCTAATAAACAAAAGTGGTACAGTTATGTTTTAAAGTTATCACATATTATGCAAACGATTTTTTTTTTTTTATACTCCATTTTATTATTATTTGAAAATAACATCTAAAACTGTAATATAACATTGTTAACTCTAGATGTTTCGACAATATTTTCAATGTAGATTTTTAAAATCAAAACTATATATTAATTAATAAAGTCCAACAGTTTGTTAGATTGAAAGATCAGATTTCAAGAACTACCAGTCGATATAAAGATCAATAATCGATTCAGATAAATTAGAGATTAATTGCGTTATTTTTTGTTTTGTTTGTTTCCAAGTCATCAATGTAAATGATAACATCTTTTCAGGAAACATAAAAATATATTTCATATAAATGTATCGACGGATGTGGTTGGAAATCTTTTTTTAGAACTCGAAAAAAAAAAATGTTTATATATATATATATATATCTTTGTAGGAATTTTATGTTATTTCATAGTAATAAGTTGTTGCAATATCTTTTAGAAGAAAATTGCATCTGGATGGATTTATTGGAATTATTATAAATTATTACAAACTTATATTTAACCTGCTAAATTTGTTTAATTTTTTAACGGTTAAGTGACAGGTATACTTCATTTCATAAACTTATTTAATTTAAACTGTTCTACAAAATGCACATTCATCATTATATTAATCTTATTTCAATTAATATTATATTATATAAATTTGTTTTTTTTTAGAAAAAGTGTTTCCATCGAGGAAATAAATAAAAAACTGAGTGCTGTAAGGAAAAAATATTTAATAGGAATGACGAAAATGGAAAATTCTATAAGCAGTGGAATAGAGACAGATATGGTATGGTTATTAATACTTATTTACCATTGTTATCATTCTGTAATTTTCATGTTTTTTTTTTCTTCTTTCAAATTTAGTCTCCATCTTTATATTATTTTAAAGAAATGTCCTTTTAACAGGACTCAGTAGATCCTCACCAACGATATATTAACATCTATTCTCATAAAAATACTTTTTTTCTAGAAGAAAAAGGATTATAGAGGTTTTGCTCCATTTGCCTATGCTGTCGGTGGCGCAATTTTATCGGTTTCTTCCGTAAGTAAATTTATTATCACATATAATCAAACATTAAATATAAATAATTATAGCATTTTATTTATTTATTTTATTTTATTTGATTTTAGTCTTTGAAAAGTGTTAGTAAAAAAGAGTTTGATTGTCAAAATGACGAGTCTAGGAAGTACTCAAAAATAAATTATTTTTATTTTCTTTGTGGCCACGTTTTGGCTGTTCATTTTCCGTTCATATAATAAATACTTGGAATGAAAAATATATGATATGTGATTGTTGGTTGTCGTTACTTTATAACTTTTTAAATTTATATATCATATATTTTCCATTTCCTATATTTATTAATGTCACGTTTAACTATCTAGTCTAATTATTTTTAAATTTTCCTGTCTATTATTTTCTCACTATTTTTTATCTAGCATTTGCTTAATTAACACTGATGAAGGCCTAAAACTTGGGCCGAAACGTCGAAACAAAATAAATAAATATAATTTATTTCGTGTACTTCAATTTCCTCGTATAAGAATCTATTGTTAACAATTTTTCCACCATCAAGGATGTTACTTATATTAAATAAATAAAGTCAAATGTATTTAATAATCTTACTAATATTTCATGTTTCATATCTTATACGTTTATAATTATTAGTACAAGTATGCCCAATTTTAAGAAACTTTGAGATACTGATATTAACTATTTGTTAATTCGTCTTGAAATTAATGTTGCCTAAATGCGAGACCGAGACGAGTCTTGGTCTTTCAAACTCAGTCTTGGTCTTGCGCAAGACTCTTGTAACAGTCTTGAGGAAAAGGCGATGAAAATTAGGAAAATTAGCTAAACTATTTTCTTATTTTTGTCTACTTCTACATTGCGGAAAAATTGTTTTAACAGTGAAAAACAAGGTCTTCATTCCCCAGATTAAAAAGTATTAATATACACATATATATATATATATATATATATATATATATATATATATATATATATATATATATATTGTAGCTAAAATCACATAAGACACACAGTTCGAGTGTGTCTCGACTCTTTGTGTTGGCGAAGCAAGCGAGTTTTGACGAGTATGACGCACAGTTCTCCTCAATTTTTCTCGCCTCGAGAGCGGAGGGCCTTAAATTTACAGTGCATATATTTCTTATTCATTTAATATTAAAATATTTAAATTTTAATGAAAATCGCTTATTAAAATTTAACAATTTTATGGAACACAAACATTGAATGCAACATGGAAATATACTTTTGTATAAAAACAAATATATATTTTATTAAGATAAAATTAAGGACATATCCAATATTGAAATTATTATTATCAAAGATAAAGACGTCGCTATCACAACATTTTTGGGAGATGAACGGAAGGAAAACTTAAATTTTCTCAACAATTCCAATAGATGGGGAAAAAAAAAATCGACGTAATTATTTGGTAAATAAATGCTTTAATTTTTTCAACTTTCTTTTTGTATTCGCACTGTTGCGAACGTTAACAATGTAAATTCTAAAGCTAAGACTTTTTTTATTGGGTTGGAGAATCTTTCCTCTTTGTATAGTCCAATCGGATGCCCAGTCCATTCCGACCCTCCCGAAACCTTCTCATCCCCACCCCTTCAGGCGTTCTTCATTCAGTCAGTGACCATCTCTTGGGTATTGCAGTTCTCTCTTTGAAAATCTTCATAATGGATTATCAAGACAGCGATTCAAAAATGGTATGCATCACAAAACATTTATATTTAATTTAATAATAATTAAATATTATATATATATATAAATAATTGTGGAAAGTTTTGATTAATTTTAACTATGTGATAGGTTGCATTTTATAAAGATCTGCTGGGTTGGGAATCTTCACCACCCTCAAAACCAACGTGTAAGCCTTCGCTACATTCAACAAGATCGCTACCACAACAAGAACCAGTAAAATTACAGCGATACACAACATGCAAGAAGAGTTTATCAGAAGTCTTTAAAAAATTAGCCAGCAACGGTGTCACAGTAAGTATTTTTCTGTAAATAGAAATATTTGAATTATCAATATCTTTATATTTTTAATTGGGAACTTACTAAGAATAATTTTTTTTTCAGATCACTGGGAGAGGCACTGTTCAACAAGAATTCCAAAATAAACAAACCATTCTCACCAGTTCTACAAGATTCCATCCATTGCCAGCTTCTCCGAAAAAATCATCGAAAGCGCCGATTCTGATAAACGAATCAGGGTCCATAAAAAAAAGGATGCAGCCAAAGATGATGTAAGTTATATTTATTTCGTTTCCGTACTATTCGTTGAAGAAATCACAAAATAATTTAGCATTTAATTGTTGTATATAGTTTCGATATTTACACTTACATTGCTTTCAGATTTTCAAAGAGACGGAAAGTGCCGTTTAGGTGTACTTTCTGTACCAAGCGATTTAAATCTCAGGAACGCCTGAAATTCCACCACCAAAGAATGCATGGTATCATTTACTTGAGTACTTGGTTAGAAATACGGTAATGAAAAGAAATACGACGCCTCTTACGAATTAGTTTCCGAAGAGGGACATGTTGTCATTGATTTAACCTAATAAGATTGTATAATATTAAAACATTGAAGATCGTATACATTTTTACTGGATATTATTTTTCAACAATAATATATATTATTGTAAATATTTTTTATTTTTATCATATTTATATACATATATTGTAGGATGTTTTACTGTAGATATTTGCACATGTTGTGAGATGAAATATACTCGTACATTATTTAAATCATTTATCATGATTTAACCTAATAAGATTTTATAATATTAAAACATTGAAGATCGTATAAATTTTTACTGGATATTATTTTTCAATAATAATATATATCATTGTAAATATTTTTAATTTGTATCATATTTATATATATATATATGTTTTAGGATATTTTTCTGTAGATAGATGTACATGTTTTGAGATGAAATATACTCGTACATTATTTAAATCATTGTTCATATATTTTTTTAATCCCAATAAATACCCAAAATTGAATAATTAACACTTACTAACGTGCATAATCATGTATATTGTTTAATTTATAATATTCAATTGATATTTGAATTAAATTTATATTAATATTATAAAGTCTGATAAGACTTCGATGTATTAATACATCGAAGTCTTATCAGATCATGTGCTAAAAATGAGATAAAATAAATTTTAAAAACCAATATTGAAAATGAAATTCAAGATTATAATCAACAAACGGCAATGATACATAATATAATACTAAATAAATTACATGGGTGATAAATATTCAGGACTCAATCTTTTTTCTTAATTTTTTTTATTATTTTTTTAAAAATAATTTAAAATAAATAAAAAAACATAAAAAAGGTAAAAAAAAAAAACTGAATATTTATCACCCATGATATGTAGAACAGTCGACTAACTTTCTTAAATAAATTACAATTAACTTAAATCTTAAAGAAAGAGAAATTTAATCAATAAGGATTACATAAATCTATTGGGGTTTCGGGATGAAGCTCCCCAAAATGGTAAAATATAATCATGTTTTATAGAAAAAAATATTGAAAAACTACATATAAAAAACTGGACTTCACTTAAGCACCATATCATTCTGATACTGCTCCTGTTGAAGAAAGATGCCGAGCAGATGTCTTAATGCTCAAGGAAATCACATTGACCAACATTCGATATGAATTTGATGTTAACGTTTAATTAATAAAGTAGTTAGAACAAATAGGTAAGTTTTATTTATTTAATATAACGTAAATAATTCATAACAATGAAAATCGTTAGGTGAGAATATCTCCTAAACAAAGAGGTGGCTCTAGATATTATATACCTAGATTTATTGTAACTGACGATGGAGCATATTAGATTTAAGACATGCATCCCAAGATCATTGGAATTATGGTTCTGAAGATGGGAGTAAAAATTCAGAAACGTAAACTTGTAAACATGCATTTCTGATAATACAACAAATAAATTCAATTGTTGTTAATTGGAAGTAATCATTGCCAATAACAAAGATTTTTTTTTTTTTTTTTTGACTCAAATATATTTATATTCATAAAACGAAACATGAAAACAGAGGAAACGTATTCACAGCTGTAAATATAAATACGGCAGTATTCACCACTTTAAAAGTGAATACGGCTGTATTGACAGTTGTACAAGTGAATACGGCAGTATTCACGTTAAGTAAAATGAATACGCTTAAATTTACAGAACTGAATGAAAATATTCAGTCTTTTTGAAAATCGCTTATTAAAATTTAACAATTTTATGGAACACAAACATTGAATGCAACATGGAAATATACTTTTGTATAAAAACAAATATATATTTTATTAAGATAAAATTAAGGACATATCCAATATTGAAATTATTATTATCAAAGATAAAGACGTCGCTATCACAACATTTTTGGGAGATGAACGGAAGGAAAACTTAAATTTTCTCAACAATTCCAATAGATGGGGGGAAAAAAATCGACGTAATTATTTGGTAAATAAATGCTTTAATTTTTTCAACTTTCTTTTTGTATTCGCACTGTTGCGAACGTTAACAATGTAAATTCTAAAGCTAAGACTTTTTTTATTGGGTTGGAGAATCTTTCCTCTTTGTATAGTCCAATCGGATGCCCAGTCCATTCCGACCCTCCCGAAACCTTCTCATCCCCACCCCTTCAGGCGTTCTTCATTCAGTCAGTGACCATCTCTTGGGTATTGCAGTTCTCTCTTTGAAAATCTTCATAATGGATTATCAAGACAGCGATTCAAAAATGGTATGCATCACACAACGTACATATTTAATTTAATAATAATTACATATATAAATAATCGTGGAAATTTTCTATTAATTTTAACAATTTCATAGGTTGCATTTTATAAAGAACTGCTGACGGCGGAAGACTGCGATTTGGAACCAGAAGTGGTATGTATCACACAACATTTATATTTAATTTAATAATAATTAAATATTATATATATATAAATAATTGTGGAAAGTTTTGATTAATTTTAACTATGTGATAGGTTGCATTTTATAAAGATCTGCTGGGTTGGGAATCTTCACCACCCTCAAAACCAACGTGTAAGCCTTCGCTACATTCAACAAGATCGCTACCACAACAAGAACCAGTAAAATTACAGCGATACACAACATGCAAGAAGAGTTTATCAGAAGTCTTTAAAAAATTAGCCAGCAACGGTGTCACAGTAAGTATTTTTCTGTAAATAGAAATATTTGAATTATCAATATCTTTATATTTTTAATTGGGAACTTACTAAGAATAATTTTTTTTTCAGATCACTGGGAGAGGCACTGTTCAACAAGAATTCCAAAATAAACAAACCATTCTCACCAGTTCTACAAGATTCCATCCATTGCCAGCTTCTCCGAAAAAATCATCGAAAGCGCCGATTCTGATAAACGAATCAGGGTCCATAAAAAAAAGGATGCAGCCAAAGATGATGTAAGTTATATTTATTTCGTTTCCGTACTATTCGTTGAAGAAATCACAAAATAATTTAGCATTTAATTGTTGTATATAGTTTCGATATTTACACTTACATTGCTTTCAGATTTTCAAAGAGACGGAAAGTGCCGTTTAGGTGTACTTTCTGTACCAAGCGATTTAAATCTCAGGAACGCCTGAAATTCCACCACCAAAGAATGCATGGTATCATTTACTTGAGTACTTGGTTAGAAATACGGTAATGAAAAGAAATACGACGCCTCTTACGAATTAGTTTCCGAAGAGGGACATGTTGTCATTGATTTAACCTAATAAGATTGTATAATATTAAAACATTGAAGATCGTATACATTTTTACTGGATATTATTTTTCAACAATAATATATATTATTGTAAATATTTTTTATTTTTATCATATTTATATACATATATTGTAGGATGTTTTACTGTAGATAGATGTACATGTTTTGAGATGAAATATACTCGTACATTATTTAAATCATTGTTCATATATTTTTTTAATCCCAACAAATACCCAAAATTGAATAATTAACACTTACTAACGTGCATAATCATGTATATTGTTTAATTTATAATATTCAATTGATATTTGAATTAAATTTATATTAATATTATAAAGTCTGATAAAACTTCGATGTATTAATACATCGAAGTCTTATCAGATCATGTGCTAAAAATGAGATAAAATAAATTTTAAAAACCAATATTGAAAATGAAATTCAAGATTATAATCAACAAACGGCAATGATACATAATATAATACTAAATAAATTACATGGGTGATAAATATTCAGGACTCAATCTTTTTTCTTAATTTTTTTTTATTATTTTTTTAAAAATTATTTAAAATAAATAAAAAAACATAAAAAAGGTAAAAAAAAAAAAACTGAATATTTATCACCCATGATATGTAGAACAGTCGACTAACTTTCTTAAATAAATTACAATTAACTTAAATCTTAAAGAAAGAGAAATTTAATCAATAAGGATTACATAAATCTATTGGGGTTTCGGGATGAAGCTCCCCAAAATGGTAAAATATAATCATGTTTTATAGAAAAAAATATTGAAAAACTACATATAAAAAACTGGACTTCACTTAAGCACCATATCATTCTGATACTGCTCCTGTTGAAGAAAGATGCCGAGCAGATGTCTTAATGCTCAAGGAAATCACATTGACCAACATTCGATATGAATTTGATGTTAACGTTTAATTAATAAAGTAGTTAGAACAAATAGGTAAGTTTTATTTATTTAATATAACGTAAATAATTCATAACAATGAAAATCGTTAGGTGAGAATATCTCCTAAACAAAGAGTTTGCGGACATACCTTCAAAGGGAATTTTTTTTTCATGCTTTTATGCACCCAATAATTAGTCTAAAAGCAAGATGTTGCTCTAGATATTATATACCTAGATTTATTGTAACTGACGATGGAGCATATTAGATTTAAGACCTGTATCCCAAGATCATTGGAATTATGATTCTAAAGATGGGAGTAAATATTCCGAAACGTAAACTTGTAAACATGCATTTTTGATAATACAACAAATAAATTCAAGTAATCATATCCAATAACAAAGATTTTTTTTTTTTTTTTTACTCAAATATATTTATATTCATAAAACGAAACATGAATACAGAGGAAACGTATTCACAGCTGTAAATATAAATACGGCAGTATTCACCACTTTAAAAGTGAATACGGCTGTATTGACAGTTGTACAAGTGAATACGGCAGTATTCACGTTAAGTAAAATGAATACGCTTAAATTTACAGAACTGAATGAAAATATTCAGTCTTTTTGAAAATCGCTTATTAAAATTTAACAATTTTATGGAACACAAACATTGAATGCAACATGGAAATATACTTTTGTATAAAAACAAATATATATTTTATTAAGATAAAATTAAGGACATATCCAATATTGAAATTATTATTATCAAAGATAAAGACGTCGCTATCACAACATTTTTGGGAGATGAACGGAAGGAAA